AATTAAAAATATCTTAAAAATTCCTTGATATCTATCAACCCCCACGATTAGAGAATCTTTCATTTTAAATAATTCATAAAAATCCTAAAAAGGAATATTATTATCATAAATCAATTCAAACTTTATACCCCTAATTAAATCAAAAATAGAAAACTAAGTTTTCTCCTCATAAATCTTTGAATACCCAAAAAAAAAGGTTGAATCTTTGTTTTCGAACATATTACCTGAAGTTCCTTCTTTAATTTTTATTCGTCGAATGGTTTTTCCACTAAATAAATTTTCTACTGTGAATTCTATTCTATTATTTTCAATCATTCTAACACAAATGAGGCTTTAAAAAATAGTTATTTAATCGCTCTTGAGTATTTAAAGAAACTATTTTTTCTATTTAGCTAATTTTTGGTTGCTTAAAAATAAAATGTAATAGTATTATTGAATGATTATAAAATAATATTCTTTAAACATGTTAATGCAATTTGAGACAAATTGAAAACAACCACAAGTAGTAAAGGTCTTCTCTGGTATTGAATACTTAATTATTTTCCACTCCTGATCAATAATGTAAATGGTATTATTTTAATCGATCGAAGTTAGAAATTTGGTGTGATATATTATATCATGAGCCATTTGGATTTCATTATTAAAAATCTTTACTTATCCCAGTTAAGTGAAAACGATTAAATATTTTGAATCATCAGTAAATTTTGCATTATTAATAGTTACATCTCTTAATATAGTTAAAGTTCTATTTTATTAAATATCAAATATTCTTAATTATGATCTCTTATAACCTTAGCACTTTTATTAGACCTTTGATTTTTCATATATGATCAAGAATCTCAAATTTTTTGGTGATATCATTAAATTAACAATATAAGATTTCTCTTTGCCTATTATCTTTTATCCTTAAAGTTATTTTATTTTTTCTTCTTCGAATACTTTTTATTCTTGGATCAGAGCCAATTAACATATTTGATTATTTTGCATTTATTCATATATATTTATCATTATTAAATTATTTGGATAGTAATAAATAGATAGGCTTTGAGTTTGGGTTTGCTCAGCCTATACTCTGTCATAGAAGAAAAATTTTCAGCTAATTTCGTATCTGCACCCTGATTTATACAGATATTTTATTCTTTATTCAGGAAATAGTTGAATATTCACCAATCCCTTTTCTCTAAATTTTGATTTCTATATAAACTCTAAATTACAAGGCAAATCTTTAAGGCTTTCACTATGCTCTATATTGACGATAAGTCAGATCTGTATTTTTAAGGTTTATAGAACCTGCTATGTATTTTGCTTTCAAATTATTCAGACCTCAAAAACGAATCTCTCAAGATTATTCCAATAGTAGTATGCTTTGGTGAGGTCGATAATTGTGGGCTCAGAATCCACTCATTTGAAATTTACCCTTCTCCCTGATTCAATTAAATTCTCAAATATGTCAATATCATCATTCAGTTCCCCATCCATTTAATCCAAATAACGTTTAAATGAATGTTGTGTAAAAGATGGTAATATAGATACTACCTATGACATCATGGGATTATTGTATGAAATAGTCATTTTTCAGATTTCCTGATTAATTGCAATCTTATTAACGATGTAGGTCGAATTTAAAATTTTTTTATAAAAGTCTTTTAAACAATATTAAATTATATATATCCTTTCCCTTTTCTTAATCTTTCCACTGGATAAATCAATATTTTATTTTGAACTATTATTCCCCAATCAATCCCTTTTCTCAAAATATTTCATTTCAAGATTTCACTCATTTTTTAAAAATCCTTATGACCATATTAGGATTTCGATTTCGCTATCGACATAAATACTTCACAGGTTCATCATATACTTAAAGTGCAGTATTCAGTATTTTTTTAAGAAAGATAAGGATGGAATTTTTATGTCAATTATTGTTAAAACTCTGTCAATCTTGAAAAATTAAGGTTTTCTACAGAATAGCGGTTCAAAAACAGAAACCCGTTATTACCCAGTTTACTTATTAAGAGTAAGAGGTTGATTCTATTTTTTTATTTATAGGGTAATGCTTACAAGATCAAAATCAATTTTGAAAGGCCATAATGTTTTATGATAAAGCTTTAACAATTAATTTTATTTTTAATTTATTAAAAATAAATAAAGTATT